GCGCAGAGCTTCTAACGGAATGACCAGAGGAGGTTAATCCTCATCTCGTTTTAGCCGACAGTGGAAAGCCATTAAAGAATATTGGAATGTTGATCGGAAATCACCTAAAGCAGAGAGCTAGGGTTTAGAGTTCAGAGTTCAGAGAGTTTTCAAGCAAAGCCTTTCCGTATATACATACATACGTGTGTGTGTGTGTGTGTGTGTGTGTGTGTGTGTGTGTGTGTGTGTTTGTGTGTGTGTGTGTGTGTGTAGGATTAGAGATGGACATATGTCAAGATCTGAACAGCCGACTCGGTTGAAGATAGACGACTAAGATCGACCTCGGAAGCCAAGTAGACCGTGTAGAAACCGAAGCGCTATCCTTCGGTTAATACGCCATCTAGCTCAAAAAACGAGGCGAATGCAGTGCACGATCTCCTGTAACATCAGCAGATCACATCAACAGCGACCCATTTCTTTCTTCTTAAATGCACATCAGATATACTGTCAACTATTTAAATTTCACTTCGTCTCGGTCAGCCAAGTTTGAATGAAAGGGGCCATAGTTATAGCATGCAAAATAGTTTAAGTGTTGATCCCATTAGGAGTCTAAGACGTGTCCTACCCTGTGCCTAAACAACCATATCTATGGAAGGACAAGTCGAGTAACTCTAGCATTCGGCCCTTCCAGGCTGGCTAAAAAGGTGATACCTATTGACCTACCCACATGATCGAGATGAGAAGCATCCTCACTCGACCTACCACTCTAGTCGACTCCACTCCTTGTTAGCATTCGTCACTTCCAGGCAAATAACTTGCGAGACCAACAAAAAAGACGGTGTTTGCCTGCCTCCAGCGAGATGAATCGGAAGGTGGTGCACCCTCGAGCCCCCTGCCGATAGTTAATCACCATCACCCTAAATGCATGGTAAGAATCATCATTACTCCAACCCCAAAAATCTTTATGACTCCTCAGACCTCGTCAGCACTACGTGCACCCTATCATCCTCACATTAAACACCTGGATAACTCAACCCCTTCAACTGCTGACATCTGTAAAGTAGATAACTACCAAGCCACTAGTTGCACTCGGTCAAAGTTACCTATTTGCCATTATGATCTGTAATAAAAGGGAATTGAGGTCTGCTGCTTAAGGTAAGCTATTTTTTAGCAACTTTATTTGCTACTTAACTTTTACTTCCCCACTCAAGTTTGATTTGATCGTCGGAGGAACCACCGGATATCCCAACTCCAACCTCTCACGAATCCTTCATGTGCAAGCTAGGTTTTCTGGCTCAGGATCCAACCATCTATGCACATAGGTTTTTTGGCTCAGGAACTAACCATCTGAGGAAACTTAAGGACCCTAACACCCCTCATAATCCATAAATAACCCTTTATTCGATAACTGACATCAACACCATAAATATCAAGAAAAGTGAGGGCAAAATTGGCAAAATTAAGAAAATTTAGTCAACTTGGGGTTACTTCGGTAGGTTTTAACTTGGGGTACTTATTTAAAAGAACTTATAGATTTTGGGGACGTATTTAATATATATGAGATTTAGAGGACTTATTCAACAATATATGAGATGTGGGGGACCAATATAAGAAAAACCTTATTATTTTTCCAAATGAGTTAGTGGATTTTTTTGCAATGTACCCCTTCCCTTTAAGATTATTGGGACAGAACAGAGGTCTTTATGTTGTGTGGCTCCAAATAACACCCAATGGATAACACCCAACGGATGGTTTTGAGGATGGAGGACAGATGACCAACACAACAGAACAAAGTGGGTTTGCAGCTGAGTGGGCTCCACTTTCTTGTAATAGAGTTGGAATGAAAAGACCGAATGCATACCATTTATTCATCACGGATATCGGCTTGTATTGAAACTGCAAGCACTAGTTATTGGATGATAAGTATTAAATAGCCGACATTTTGAGAGGGAAAATGGCAATAAATATTGATGGATGTTAAGTATTGACAAGCAAATTTAGAAATTCTAAGGATTATTGAAGTATTTAGTTAAGAAATTTATTTGTGATTTATTCTGGCGAAAAATTCTGAAAGATAACAAGGAAAATGTAAATTGCACTAAAATACCCAAAGCTTACACCAACATTTGCAATTTTGATACCCCAAATGTTTTTTTCCCATGAACTCCGAAGTTCACATGTTTAACTTTAATACCCTAAAATGGCAAATCAGGCGGCATCCAAGTTATTGTTATTACTTTTTTGAATTTTAGGGTATTTTCTGAAAAGGAAAAGGCTTGGCATCTATATTGAGGTCAGAAACAACGTAAACTTTGGGTTTTAAGTAATCAGCTCCAAAAATTAGATAAAAAGAGATGTTGGAGAGTGATACTAACTTAGAAAACAAAAATGCTATTTGTCACGCAGGATGGGCGCACAGCCCATCTCGCGTGAGAGAGGTAAGGGGGTGAGAGAGGTAGTGCATCCCACGTGACAAATAGCAAAACCCATTAGAAAATTAACCAGGTACTATTTCCATTTTTAATACCAAGACATTGATGCTGATGACAAACACTGCACCGGATAATAACTGTTTAAGCCCAATCTCCCAGCTGTTACAGGGGATCACATGCCTTTGAGTACAAGTACAATATCACCGAACTCTGCATCACCCAAACTAAAGGTTTAATCTAAAAAATTTTACCGACTTATAACTTGCATCTGCATGTGTTGGTTTGATTATGCAAAATCTGTACGGATTATTGATCATTTAACATTGAACTGTTAAAAAAAATCAATACTTATATGATATTATTTAATTTTGATTCGCGCAGGGACCAAATGCAATGAAGCTCTTTTTCCTTTTTAATCATTATTGTTGATCAGCAATGATCAATAATATCCTAGGACATAATTGCTAACCTCATACCTTAACATCCAAGCAACATTTTGATTTGTATCAGTATATCTAAAAATAAAATTACAAACTTTGTAATTCATTCATTATTTGTTTATGCCAAGGTCAAGTAATTCAGATTGACTCAAGAGACAGGCTATACTAAAAAGGAACACATTTAGCAGACAATGCTTCTATTTGTACACAAGTGAGATAATAACCAAAGTCCACCAGCATTTGAATATTACATTAATTGTAGGGTTTTTCCCTCCTAGAAACCACCATAAAAATATGATCATTATATAGAAAATATCTTTTATTTTTAATTTATACATAAATCACCTTTAAAGTGAATTTTTGTTCCAATCACCACCTTCTAATCAACTTTTCACTAGAAAACCAAAAAATTAGCTCAAAACACACGTTTAAAATTCATGATTTGTATCATAATTTTAGAGCGAGTCATGTGTCTTGAATGCGAGCATTTAATGGTGTTTTTGGATTTCCAGTGTAAATTTTGTTGAGAAATAATTGATTGGAACAAAATTAATCTACTTTAAAAATGATTTACATATAAAATTAAAAACACGATGGTTTCTGTATAAGGTGATTTCTGGGGGGAAACCTAATACTCATACCTGGATAAGGTCATGACCAATGATCTTTAAAATATTTGCTATTAGCGCTCAAATTTAGATGTACCTAACACAATGTGATAGATATATTGTGCCCAAAGTCTCGAGGTCATAACGTGTTGTTTAGTGAGAGGGACTATATTTTTGGATGTTCATTAAATAAGAGGCAGAGTCATAGAGATCCAAATCTGAAACAAATCGGTACGTATAATGAAAGGTGTGGAACCCATTTCCAAGAGAGGAAAAGGTCATTTATAGGTGGACGAGGATGAAGCCACCTTTTTTTTGAGAGAGACGTTTCCTTTTTCTTACGTATCACTTCTTCTCGACGTTGGAGTGAGGAAAGTGCAAGCTATCCTTATGATTTCTCATTCTTGTTTACTTTTTCTATTCCAAAGAAATAGGAGAACCTGGGAAGACCATGGGATTTCAACGTATTTTAGTAAGAGCCTTTGTTTATTATTATTTTATTATTTTATAATTATTTTATTGGTTACGTGTACACAGGATAGAGCATTATCACGTATGCCCTCTTTGGAGTGTGATGTAGGTAGATAACCCTCTTGAATGTGATTATTTTATTCTTAAGAGGTGCGTGCTTTTATTTTCTAGCAAACGGACCCCCATGGATAAAAGAGTGAAACAAAATTGCATAGGCCAATATCAAACCTAAAAGGCAATTTTAGCAGCAATAGGGGGTCCATGTGCTTGCAGTTAACCCTGTTTTATTTTAGCTTTGGGAAAATATACTCCGCTTTCTCTCAAGACTTAAAATCAAAAGAGTTCCTCACCTTTTTTTTAAGCTCCCTTAATATGATGGGAAGACACGTGAGCAACAGGTGTAGACAAGTTCCTACACCGGTCTAAAAATGAGTAGTTGGTATAATAAGATTGACAACTCATTTCAAAATATGGGTTGCCAAACCGCTGAGTTGTGAACCTCAATCCTGCACCAGTATGATTAGCTGGTGGGCTCACAAGCCCTCGTCTCTCGGCAGTCAATTTCTCAGATGGGCTGCCGTCCTATTCCCCATTTTTTCCCCAAAAAAATAAAATAAAAAAAAGTCAATGAATCATCTAACGGATGATCTACACAACCCATGGTGACCTTCACGTCTCCGAATATGCATATTAGTTAGCAAGTCCAATGATTTGAGTACATTCTTCTTTTAAATTGAGAAAGCCTTGGGTGTGCTTGTGCCAGACTTATGAAGGATTATGAAACTTAACAAGAGGAAACACCCAACATTCTTGCCCCTCAGACAAAAGGCAGTAAAATATGCACGTACATTGTGTCATGACCAAATTCAATCGCATTCATTTGCATCATATAATTGTAGTGATTTATGAACTCTATTGGCAACAATGGAAGCCCTGCAAATAATAGTAGTGTTGCTCCTCTGACTCTGTGCATAACTCGCTTTAAGCACGCAAAAATAAAACCTCACGTCAGCCCCATAAAATGACCTAAAACCGTGACCTAAAACGCACTGGAAAAATAACCGGAGACATCAAACAAGGTAAGTCCAATTCAAACCAGCATATTCACATGCTATGAAAAGATCACAAGCATAAACAGAACAATAACACACCAAATAGTTGTTTGCTATGACTGATTTACAAGCAATGTAAGTTCTGAACGCACACCTTCACATCATGAATTGAACAACTGCATGACAGAAGATACCATATACTATTAAGTCTGCCGAAGGTCTTTGTACTTTATTAAGTTACTATGTAACGAGCTTCTGCACGTTTCAGCCATAGCAGCGGATAGGATCATTACAGCGTTTCTCAGTAGACTGCTTGAAACCAAAGCGGCCTCCTTTGGCGAGGTACTGCTGATGGTATTCCTCTGCCCTGTAGAATTTCTTTGCAGGTAGGATCTCTGTAACAATCTTTCTGTTCAAAGCTTTCTGGTGCTTTTCCAGAGACTCTATGGCTTCTTTCTCCTGCTCTGCCGTATAGAAGTAAATTCCAGACCGATACTGAGTTCCCACATCCCCGCCCTGCATCCAGACATCAAGGAATTTAAAGATGCAGATATTCTTAAAGGAGAAGATTTGCTATCCAAGCACCAACATCCACATAAAGGACCTTGCTGTTCAACATGTATTAACTGTAAAGTAGTGAGAATGAACTGTTTGGTTTTTCGGATAAGTATTGACCTCGAATTTTCGTAGGACACTTTGTTCTTGAAGAACAGTGCTGATATATTAGCACATGCTATATACACTGAGTCGGGAAAAATAAATAATTAACATCAAGTAGGTGTAGAGAGCATATTCTGTAAACATGCATATTATTCACACTGATATCGTTTGATGCCCAACCGGAGGGGGAGGGGGGGGGGTGTTAGGATCATGTGAAACTTAGTTGATTGCAAGAAACTGATGCAAGGAGTAACGTTTCGCATGGCTGAGTGTTATTAAAGCAGTAATAATCTCTCATTGGTTTATCAAAATATGGAAAACCCTCCAACATGTTATGTTTTGCTACATCAACTAACAGGAAACCAACATGGCATTTTCCATGAGCTATGCTAGCTTTCCATTTAGTCATTTGTTTAAATTTATTTTTGATGCACATCTCCTATAAGGTATAGCGATCACGGCTTTATTGTTCTTGTTATTATATCCCTTCAAGTGATACTTCATTATATACAGATCCTTCTTGCATTATTTGTTCATAACATGGTATGATCATTTGCAGCCTAAAAATGCAGATCCTTCTCACATGACATAAATATCTCTGCCTAAAATACCTCCATATAAAGGTTATATTATTTTTTAATTCGGTGTAACATTTTATTAGCACATTTAAGTTAAAACAGCGAGTGTAATGACATTTGATACCACATTTATGTGTGTTTTATTTGTTTGCGCCGAGGGGTCGTGGGTCTGTCCGTGTACGTACATGAGTGCATGTGCATACATGTATGTATGTATATATTATGCATAAATACAAGTAAGTTATAGCGACCGAAACATAAACATACACTATCGAGACATGCACTGTCCGCAATACCACACATGGACCCCATATGCCCTGAACCTAACATCTGCTACTTGAACCTTGATACAAAATGCAACGTTGAGCATACTATTTAATGGAAAGTGCATTTCATCTAACTCAGAAAATGGCAAGATATCACACAGATTTCAATTCAATATCAACTTCATTTCAAGCCCCATCCTAACCTCAATGTAAATCCATTCTTCTCACACTCAAAGTAATATTGGTGGCAAAAGAGATGCTCTACCTCGATCACCTTGAAAGAACCACTTGATATTTTTCTCATATTAGCATGATACACAGGCTTTCCTCTTCAGCCGAAGGATCACAATCATCCCTTACCTTGCTCAGATAAAGTATCAGCAAAATGTATAGTTAAGTGTTGGCCATGAGTGCAACAGAAATCTAAATCTTAATTCTTGATAAACACGAGGGTCATTCTTGAGAGTAGTAAAAACAAGTGCAATTCCTGAGAGTAGTAAAACACTAAATTAACACTATTGAGTAAAAAACTGGTGCCAAAATAATCTTAGCTACTCACAATAATTTCTTAAGTTCATCACAAGTGCAAACTATAAGCAGAAATAACATTCACAGAAGCATCATCATTATCAACTCAACGTTCAATATTAATTCGAAATATAGCTCTGACATACCCAATGCAGGCCTAAAACAACAAACTTTCTTTCATTACTAGTACATCTGAAAAGCAATCCTTAATTCCCCATTTTGTGCCTCTGTAAGTTCATACAAGGAATCTCCTTCTAATCGTATTTGAATGATGACTCATTCAATCTTAAAAAGAACTACAGCAATTTATGCAAGTTTATTGGGACACGTCAATTGTTTCCCCATGGTTTCACGTTTTTGTGAATTTCCACCTCAATGACAATCCAAGCACTGTGACAGTGTGACCATTAAACATCCTTATTCAAAACATTACAACCTCTTTACCTTAGCCCTTTATCTAACCAATTGGTCAGTTAGGTAAAGACATCTAGCTGCAAATGCCAACTCTTGCACATAAATCTTTGGTCAATATTTCCAAATTCTCCAGGGTTGACAGTAAGGCATTGGAATTCAGGAACTAAAGGAAATATTGTTTATAGCATTTTTAAGTCAATAGCACTAGCTGCACTACAATGACACATTGAGTAACCTGTAACTTTCTAATTTTAAAAATCAGCCAATTTTATCGATTTATCGCTGATATATTAGAATTGGATCAAAGTCGCAACAATTTCTAGAATTTTTTATCGTTTAATCATTTTTAAATCGCTGATATATTAGAATTGGATCAAAGTCGCAATTTCTAGAATTTTTATCGTTTAATCATTTTTGATCGATTTTGTCTGACATATCGGTGTATATCCGCTTTATCGCCTGATTTCTGGAGGGGTTTAAATCGCCCAATTTTGCTGAAAATCACATTAAAACTATTGGTTTGGTTTTGGGTCACAAAACTCGTTTTCCAAACACGACCCAATATCCATTAAATAAAACCAGATCAACCAATGCATCTATTCCTTGCCCAAGCTCGATTTCCAAGCCTAATTTCTCTCCGCCTCCATCATTTTAATTTTTGCATTAATGTGTTAGCTTGAAACTCTAGAGAACTAATTATGTGGTCATATTTGGTGTTTGTTTGAAGTAATTCCGATTATATGTCAATTAAGTTGTTTTGAAATGATGATATTACATATCTTGATTGCTCTTTTGATGCTTTTCTTTGTTGGTTATAGCAACTACTTAGATACTTTATAGCATTTTTAGGTACATTTGATGATATTGCATATATATATATATACGATTGTTGTATTATATTTTTATCATTTGATGTTGATATCTGTTGAGCTCATTTTGCATGGTCTCTTCTCAGTTTGAAGTTCGTATTTGCGACCACATACATTTATGTAGGGAGAAGCCTACAACCATATAATTTACCCATTTGATTGTAATTTATACGTAGGTGTACTAATTCATATCCGATTCATATATGTTTGTCAAATATCCGTTTCATATCCGTGATTGTATCCAATCTGACTCTTTAATATCCGAACCGTATTTGTTTCCGACGAGTGCAGATATGGTTAAGGTTTTTTCTTACCGAAGATAATCTGTATACATATCCGGATCCGTTTATAGAAAACAGATATGGATAGTAGGTGTCATATCCGAACCATATCTGCTCCGTTACACCCCTACGTTCGACACTCCAAGCTCGATAATATGATTTATTTACATTTCATTACGTGTGGTTAGAGTACATTTTAGGATATTATGTTATATATACACACCATCCGATATGACGCTCCGATTTTTATTACTTATCCCCAATAATCGCAATCCGATATAAATTTTAGTTGTCTGATATATTCTTGATAACCAATATTTAAAATCTTATAACTTACTGTTATTCATTTATTTTAATTCCTATATCTTTCATAAGTTATTGCCCCTGGAGGTTTGTGATGATTATGTTACTGCATTTCAAAAATTCATAATCATACTTTATAATCAATGTTCGAAAAAAATTGAAACACACTTCAAGGCGCACTTCGAAGCATCTAATCACTTTGAAGTGCAAAAGAAAGTGATTTGTCACTTGAAGTGTACACCTTATTACTTGAAGTATAAATGAAGTGTGCGCTTCGCATCCATGAAGCGCTTCTCTTTTGGAACACATTGTTCAGACATGATAGGAGGGTAAAAACGATTTATGACTAAAATTAAAATACTCAATCAATTCATTTTCTATTCGATATTTCCCTTTCTTTTTTCTATTGAAATTAACATTTATCATACTCCACCATAGGTTTGTTTCTTCGTGTGCTCTAGACAAATATTTCTTTCCACTAAACAAACTTGTTTTCCAGCAATTCTGAATTTTGGTTGCTTTCTTGTTTCTTTGTGTACCTGGACATGTTTAGATTCATCCCTCTCAGTCGATCTTTACTATTTTCTGTGAGTTGTGCCTATTTCTTTTTAATCTTGAATCTTGAATCTTGAATCAATACAACACTCGAGCTCAATTTATTTTTACTATGAAAGTGTAACTTTAGGTCATGTGTTTTAATATGTCCATGTAGCTTAGCTTATTAGGCTTTTTTTTGTTTATAATTAGCATATTTAATTCTTATTTCTTTTTCAAAACCTAAATGTATGTACTTGTAAGATATTATACCACTATGTGTTATATTTATATGCTTACAAGTGTTATGCCCATGCTCACAAAGATGAGTCTGATTTCTTTGGTTTATACATCTGATTTCTTTGTTCTTTATGAGTTTCTGTTTTGGTGATGCATGTTCTAAGAATGTCTTGTACTAAAAAAAATTATTTCAACTACTGCCTACGCCTTCAAAATTAGATAAATTGAACAAAATCTCTTTTCTTAGACTAAATTACCAAATTGGTATTAAAAGTAATACCTAAAACCGGTGTTGTAAACTATAGCGCCGCTATTCGCGGTCGCGGGGGTTCGCGAGCGCAATGCTTCAGGGGTTCGCGACGTGATTAAGCGGAGAAAACCGCTATTTGCTCGAATAGCGGGTGGTAGCGCAAATAAGCGGTGAAAAGCGTTAATTTCCGCTACAGTAGCTAATGAGTAATCCCCCGAACCCGACCCGTACCCGACTACCCGTAACCCATTACACTTAAACCCTCTCACCTCTTATTTCCAAACAAATCTACCCTATGCCGCCTCTCTCCCGACTCCGTGCCTTCTCTATCTCTGTCCTCCGACGATAAATTTCCAGCGCCGTCAACGCCGCCACCCCGGTCGACTTCCAGCGCCGCGACTCCCGCCACCAATTAACGCCAACTCCATGCCTCTTCGATCTCTGCCTCTCTCTCACCTCCTCATTCTCTCGTCCTATGACCTGTCTCCCAGTCAAGCCACAGCCGCCTACTTCTCGTTCTCTCTCTCTCTCTCCTCTCTCCGGTCAAGCCAGCAACGACTCCCTTTTCTCTCTCACTTCCTCCGGCGACACAA